GGCTGCTGCTGCTGCTGATGCTACTGCTGCTGCTGCTGCTGCGGCTGCTGCTGCTGCTACTACTGCTACTAACTGTACTACTACTACTACTAGTAATAATAATAATAGGCGCTACGTTATGGACACTCACAGGTGATGTGGTCTAGGTGCAGACGTTTGTGTTCCTTCTTCACGTAGACAGGTGGCAGGTGTGACTCCGGCATGGGCGTCTGCTCGTACAGGAAGCACACGCTGTAGTCTATGTACACGTCACTCTCGTCAACAGGTGGCGTCGGCGGCGCCCACATCTGAAATACAAGCGCATTCGAATGTCCATTTTCGGGGAGGGGGGGATTTGGTTGGTGATCAATTCAGTTTTACCTCAGACCGACACACACCAACTAAGACNAAATCTATTTATCTACAAAAAAAAAAAAATTTAAAATTATTAAAAATTATTTATAAATCTAAATCTGAATCGCTTTTCAGCTTCACACCAGAGGCAGGCTTTAGTGAGGGGTTGCTAAGCAACTAAACTAAGGTACCAACTACTGGTACACTGTACGCTACACGTACGCGGCGACGACTCACCGGCATATGCTGGGACGTGGTCTTGTCCACCCACACCTGCAGACAGGAACGAGTTAACGGTTAGCAGGTGGCTCCATCTATAACGCGACACGCGACGACACTCAACCCGCTCGCGCATTCCACCCTCGCAGGTCAGAGAACTGCTGTCGTTAGTGGGTATGTATGTGTACGATAGATTATGCTCATGGTGGATTGGTGCAGGCACGTTCGATGTGTGAATTACTGTATTCTACGGTTGGCCATCGTACTCAGAAATAATTCTTTTTACCGCCCTTAAATTTTTGCCCCTTTACCCAATAGGAGGCCTTGATACTCATAATTTTACTGTGGATAAATTATGTGGTTCAAGGCCCTTTAATTGGTTGAATTATTTCTGCGTTGAAAATAATTATTTTTGAGTGAGATGGGCAACCATAATGTAGCACTGTGCATGTTGTTGGTTACGTAGCAAGCCTGACTGAGACAGCCATCAAGTGTTAATTCTCATCGCGGTATGTGTACTGCCAGGAGCATGTCGTCAGAAATAACACTAGCCTTAACAATAGCCATAAGCTTTTCTCGTAGATCGGAGCGCTATACACTGCACGTGAGAAACTTTACCACGTTTTTAGAGACATTTTCAAGTCAAGGTTAATGTTAAGACTGATGTGACCTAACCCCAATTATGTTTCTAACCATAGGTGTCTAATCAATGTTTGAAATCTCCACAGGAAGTCGATCGTGGTGCGAATTATTACATTTACTTTGTGTTGAAGACGTGTTGTAATGTATCACGCAACCGTCCAGTGTGTCATGCAATGTCTGTCACTAGTGTTCCATATCATGTCCATCTATGGTGTATCATACCACGTCTATCTGTGATGTAGCATGTCATGTCCATTTGTGACGTATCTATCATATCATGTCAATGTGTGACGTAGCATATCATGTCCATCTGTGGCGTACCATATCATGTCCATCTGTGACGTACCACATCATGTCAATGTGTGACGTACCATATTATGTCCATCTGTGGCGTACCATATCAGGTCCATCTGTGATGTATCATATCATGTCAATGTGTGACGTAGCATATCAGGTCCATCTGTGATGTATCATATCATGTCCATCTGTGACGTACCATATCATGTCCATCTGTGACGTACCATATCATGTCTAACTGTGATGTATATATCATATCATGTCCATCTGATGTAGCATATCATGTATGTGATGTAGCATATCATGTCCATCTGATGTAGCATATCATGTCCATCTGTGACGTATCTACCATATCATGTCCATCTGTGATGTAGCATATCATGTCCATCTGTGATGTAGCATATCATGTCTAACTGTGATGTAACATACTTCTAGTGCACTATATTGTGTTTATCTTATGTTCCATATCATGTTGACCTGTATCATATTGTGTCGAGTCGAGCTGTAGTGTATCATGCTATGCTAATCACTTGCTATAAAGTGTCATGTTGTGAATCATGTCGTGAGACTGTTCAGTGTACCATGTTGTACCGTATCATATACAATTATACATACGTACACACATACATGTATGT